CCGTACTGTATTAAAGCTTTAATCAGGATAAAACCGTATATTAAAAGCTAACATAAGCAGTAGCATTTACAAATAACAGCATATCTAAAAATATGAGACAACAACAAATAAAAAAAATAGGCCTACCATTAAAAGCCGTGCTTGCACAGGTTCTGCACGATCCACTTCAATAATATCTTCTGCTTCTCAATCGGGCTCAAACTGATAAGCCATATTAACAACGCCGTTGTTTACAATATAACCGGAGCACATGCCACCGAGGTGAGGGGCGGGATGTTTAGACGCACTAGAGGCGGTTTAGCCAATCACAACACACTGGGCTAGCTAACCAATCAGAGCCCATCGCCTATTTCTGAGGCGGGGCTTCATACAAGAAGGAAATTATCAGCCTGTTTCTCAGAGAAGGGACAGAGAGGTGTGGAAAATAGGTAAATTATGTGAAAAATAATGAGTTTTTTAAAAAACGAAGCATAAAAAACAGTGAACCACCCCTTTAAGAGTGTATCCACTTACAGCGCTCCAAATTCAGACTACCTTAATCCATTTCATAGAAACTAATATATAATATAAAACTTTTGTTTTAAAAAATATTTGTGATATATTTTACGAGCAAATCACGAACAATCCCTGATAGTATTGGTTAATGTTTAGATTTACATGTTTAACCAGTTTAACTTCAACATTTTTTTTTTCTTACTTTCGCTTTCGTTTCTCCCCAGTGTTTTCGTGCGGTTGATTACAGAAAAGGGGGTTGTGGGGGTGAGGGGGTCTTTCTACGATTGGTTCTTTAGACGCCCACGAGCCGATCTGGTAATACTGTGGGCATCAAGAGAAGGTAGCGAGGCATTGAAGAGGAAGAGCTGCGCGATGGCGTCCACCTTAGCGGTTCTTATGCTCCTGTCTGCGGGTTTATTCACGGAAACAGTCGGTAAGTTTGTTACAAAAATCAAAAGAAACACTTTAAACATGTTTTTGGGCCGTTTACCGATGGCTGCCAAGTACAAAAATTATTTGTACAGCACTTGATTTAACGGTACTTTTTAAACGATGTTCACGTTATAAAGTCCGTTCTCTTGATTCTCTTGAATTGATCATATCATCGCATGGTCTTTTATGAAATGTGTCGCATTTCTACTGTTCTTTTAGGTTTTGGTGATGACTGTAAAGGCTACTTCACCAGCAATAACGTGTACAGGTCTTCGATTAACTGCGGGTTTGGGCAGCACTGCTGTGGAACCTGCAATAACAGATACTGCTGTTACTTTGGATCTGCGAAGTTATCCGAGCATGAGCAAAATATGTGCAATATGTAAGGATTTTTAAGCCGTTTCTTTCTTAATACAATTGTCCGTTAGACCCAAAAGTTACTTTTTATACACCCTCACATAATTCCAAACCAAAATTGTTTGAATCTTCAAAAAGGACATTGTTTTAAATATATTTGGGTCAGTTAATGCTTTAATTCCCCTCATCATCCATAGCTGTGATCTACTGATAGTTCTGTGAACTGAGACATGGTACAATCCAGAGATTTACACTGAAATGTGTTGTGTATATTAGCGTTAATATCTGTTTTTGAGTATCTTGAAATGTACTTTTCGTTTCCGGTGTTGAATCAGTTGAGGTTCTGTCTTTCCCTTTTCTTGTCTCACCCATTTCCTATAGAGGTTGTGGTCTTTTTCACTGAAATGCAGTTTGCAAAATTCACCCCACTCACTGATTGGTGCATGTTACGCTTTTAACAGCCACTTTGTTACTTAAAGAACAAACACTTTAAAAAGCTGTAGTGTTCACAGTCAATTTAAAGACAAGGCAGGAGAGAAGTAGTATGATGCAACTTCTCATTTTTGAGGGGGTCAACGTGGTGGCCTAGGCAAGACAGGACATGACCAAAGGAGTTAAAAAATGTTCTAACAAATATTTTATACAAGCAAATGTTTTCTATTTTTTTTGTGGCAATGTTTGCAATTATGGCCCTGGTTTGAATCCTGATTTGATATTGTATGTTTTTAATAATCCAAGCACAAAGCAAACTAACCAGTGCAGTAACCAGTGTGTTTTACTTAAACCAGAATGGTTTCATTAATTTTTTTTTTTTTAATCAATAAATGAAATGTTAATTAATAACATTTGAATATAAATAAGATTTATAGATTAGATTATAGATTAAATATCCTAGAAGATGCTTTTTCTAATGCTTGTTGCTTCATGTTTTTATCTGTCCAACAGCAGAAACAGTAGTATTGCCATTGGCTTATCAGTAGTGGGGTTTGTGGTCTTCATCATCGTGTTCATCACCTGCTGCTGCTGCCCCTGCTGCTGTATCTATAAAATGTGCAAAAAACCCAGACGTAAGTGTTTTAGTGTTAAAGAAATACTTCAGCAAAAACTGAAAACGTACTCGTCCTCAGGCCATTCAAGATGTAGATGAGTTTGTTTTTTCATCAGAAAAGATTTGGAGAAATGTATCATTTTATCTCTTGCTCAGCAATGGATCCTCTGCAGTGAATGGGTGCCGTCAGAATTAAGAGTCCAAACAGCTAATAAAAACGTCACAAAAATCCACAAGTAATCTACACGACTCGTCGATCAATTAATGTCTTGTGAGGCTATCATTCCATCATTAAGGCGCTTTATAACATTAAATTGTCACTTTTGGCCAAAATGCAAGTCCTCTATCCATAATATTGCTATCGCCAGTAAAAAAAATGGTCTTGTCTGAATCAGAAGAGAAATATGCACAGATCAATCATTGTTTACAAGTGAAAATAGTCAAAACCGTTCTAAACAAATATGTTGGTGGATTTTGATGTGAGACTTTTTCACAGGAGAAAGTGTTGTTATAGATTATTTTGTCCAGTAGCGATGAGATTTGTTTCTTGGAAACATGCGGCTTTTGGCTTCACAAGACATTAATTTATGGACTGGAGTAGTGTGGATTGCTTGTGGATTATTATGATGTTTTTATCAGCTGTTTGGACTCTCATTCTGACGGCACCCATTCACTGCAGAGGATTAACTGGTGATGTAATGCTAAATTTCTCCAAATCTGTTCTGATGAAGAAACAAACTCATCTACATTTTGGATAGCCTGAGGGTGAGTAAATGTTCAGCAAATTTTTATTTTTGGGTGAACCGTTCCATTAATGGGGATTATATATTATTCAGGGGGCTAGTCAAATTTAATTATTAATTGATTTCTGTCTTGTTTTTTCCCCACAGCTGTGGTAGGAACGCATATAACTACAGTCATGAATACACAATGCATTCAGCAGCAGCAGCCTGTAATGCAGGGAGGCCAGTACCCACAATACCAACCAGTGCCGACTCAACCGGGTTATGGTGGTCAGCCTATGCAGACAGGACCATATCAGGGACAGTCATATGCACCAGGACCCCCACCCTCGTATCACGTGGCCAGTAAGAACACCTAATACACTCTTAAAAATAAAGGTGCTTCAAAAGGTTCTTCAAGTGATGCCATAGAAGAACCTTTTTGTCTAAATGGTTCCATAAAGAACCTTTAACATCTGAAGAACCTTTCTGTTTTACAAAAGGTTCTTTGTGGCGAAATAAGGTTCTTCAGATTACAAAAACGCAAGAAAGAGATGGTTCTTTAAAGAACCATCTCTTTCTTGCGTTTTTGTAATCTGAAGAACCTTATTTCGCCACAAAGAACCTTTTGTAAAACAGAAAGGTTCTTCAGATGTTAAAGGTTCTTTATGGAACCATTTAGACAAAAAGGTTCTTCTATGGCATCGTGAAGCACCTTTATTTTTAAGAGTGTACTGGATAGACTGAGACCATGTAGTAGTCTTTTCTGTGAAAGTAACTAGTGTCTTTTACTGTTTCCAGTGAGTCCTGGATATCCCACTAGTCAGGGTGCATATGATGGAGGCCGGGCCATGTACCCCATGCAGCCGCCTGCCCAGCCAGGTGTTGCTCCTATGCTTTCAGAGACATCGAATCAGCCGGCCTACAACCCCGCCTACATGCAGCCACCAAACACCGGTTACTAAACCGCAACTGTCTCTCAAATCAGTCATTGCTGGATTGTGGAGGTTGACGCACTTTCGCAAGGCAGTAAGAATGTGCCTAATCTGATGTGCATTATACAAGACTATTGGATGTGTTAAAGTCAGGGTTATTACAGTTTTTAATTTGAGTTATTTTGTTTTATTACTTTCAATTTCTTTCAGTTTAGTTTAGTAAATGATTTTTGGAATTGTAAATAAAACAAAGATTACTATAGAAAGTTTTACATGAAAATACCATTTCAATCTTTCTACTTTCTACAAGCAATGAGTGAAAATTGTTTCTACACAATTTTTTTTTTTAATGCAGTTTTAGTTTTTATTAGTGTTTTCTGCTTTCAGTAGTAATTATTCTAGTATACATGGATACACAATATAAAATTTAACATACTAAAAAGACTAAAATCTAAAATATAACTTGTAATTTTTATTTTTATTATTTTTGTTAGCTAATACTCTTTAGTTACAGCTTATGTAATTTTGTTTTTGAGTTTTCATATTAAGTTTCATTATGTAGACCACATATAAATGTTTTGTTTTTTCCCCCTACATTTCAAATGGCAGGAATTGTGATTCTATTTAAAGAAAGTGTCAAAAAGTTTTCCATTTTGAGGGAAAATAGGGTCTAAAATGCAACCGCATTTTAATAACAATGAGTATCACAAAATGTCCACAAATATGTCATGAGTCCCACTGACTTTCTGTACCAACAAGTTTAAATCCACATGCTCGCTTTTAAGCACAGAATGGCTGTCAAGGTAGGAAAAAGGGTTAATTTTGTTAAAGCAACCTTTGTTAAAGCATTAGGAAACCACTGTCATTTGCAGTTCCTTTTCAGATTTTATTTTATTGTTTCAGTTGACATTGTTTTCTTGAGATGCAGCCTATTTGTTTAATGGCTATACATTTTGAATATGTTTAATTGGTGTTTTACATGTTTTCTATGTTTTAAAGATGTGAAAAAAAATATATTTTACTGTCTTTTAAAAAGAAGAGAAAAAAGGGAGCTAAAAAGGTCTTACAGGAGAACATCAAAGATGTCAAACTCAACATAGTCGTCCAAACCTGCTATATAGTTTGGACTGTCTTTTATGCAGTGCTTGGTGAACTTGCAGCACTTGAATGTATATGGGGCCCCTACTGGTGAAATAAAACAGAAAAAATCTCTAGTGTTTGTATTGTTACTAATCATCTAATTCAGGGGTGTCAAACTCAGTTCCTGGAGGGCCGGAGCCCTGCAGAGGTTCCTGGAGGCCCTGCAGAGTTTAGATTCAACCCTAATTAAACACACCTGATCCAACTAATCAAGTCCTAAGTCCTTATTTGAAAACTACATGGTATGTGTGTTGGAGCAGGGCTGTAACTAAACTCTGCAGGGCTGCGGCCCTCTAGGAACTGAGTTTGACACCCCTGGTCTAAACAGAGAAGAAG